TCGGCATGTTGAGATAGCATTGGATTTGACCACTGATTAGAAGCATGTATTTCGCAGTGACCAAGTCACAGGCTACAGAACCGGTCCTTCTCGGTAAGAATTCCGTCGCTGACCACAGCTCTCTCTGGACCTTCATTTACAGATCAATACTATCATTATCCATGCCTTATATCCTTCAATATCCTGCTTGAGGCATTTTGTCTTATCTTAGTGTTCTCTTTGCAATTAGGTAACTGTGTGCTTTGAGAATAGATGATACTTTTGACTTCTTATCTCTTTTCTTTTTCATTGTATCAGTACAGAAATAGTTTTCTGTGGCAAAAAGCAATGTAGTTCCAGTCTTGATACTCACAGTACACGTACAGTACATATCGTAATTCCTGTTCGTTATTCATGTACATGTAGATGCATTGAACACATGTACACTGACATAATACAGATATAGTTTTCAGCTCGGATCAACACTCATGATCATCAATATCATTGAGAATGATCCAGTATTAATACATTTACATTCATTTGCATACATAAATACAAAGAAGTTTAAAATGATATTCAAAACGCCACACCCCCTTTTTGACAACAAATTTTGGCTACAGTGAAAGATTGTCACAATCTGCTGTGCATCATGTACTTGGCAAGCAAATTTATGTCATGTAAATCTCTGCAGGCCTACCCAAATACTGGTACATGTAAATATGTACTTTTCAATGGAAAAGTTCAACCTACATGTACTGTACAAACATACATGTATACCTACATTGTACATTACCTATACAGTGTATATTACAAGTAGATTTCACTTCTTGTTGTATTGTACAATATTCATACAGGTACATGTACTGTATGGTTTGCACACATAATAAGTCTGGTAGAAATTTTTAAAGCCTTTTGTATAGCTCTACAGGTATTGTTGAAGAGCCCTAATCCATGACAAAACTGAAGGCTGATTTTATATGCATGCATTACGAATGGTTTGCAAACATACCGCTGCGCTGTTTTGTTGGAATAGGGCCCAATTTTATGCTTTTTGCGATGAGGTGCAGCATATATGTTTTGAGAGCTGTTTGCACTACAGTACCATCGTTCTACATTGGAGTGTTGGTTAACACGGACTAGAACAATAACTGATGTGAATGTTAGAAAACTAAAGCATTAACTACAATAACATGTAAATTTGTGTTCATGTACACTTGTATTGGATGATTCGATCTCATACATGTACATGTACATGTACATATTCATGTTGATTTAATCTCATACATATTCATGTATGATGTAATCTCATACATATGTATGATGCAATCTCATACATACATATTCATTTTATATGTTTTAATCTCATTCATATTCATGTATGACATTATGATGGAGCTCCACCTGCGCCAAGACTCCACCCTAGAGTTTCGGGGTACATACTGTACAGTTCATGACCCCCCCCCTTCCATTTCTTCATTTGCCACTGTATGTTCATGTACATGTACATGTATTGTACTTACAGTATGTTTTAAATGTACATGAATGTACAATAAGTACATATACATGTACATGTTTTTATCTGTACATATTGGCATACATGTAACCTACATGTACATGTATGAAGACGGAAAATCAATATCTTACATATTCATCTATAATAGTAATACGCTAAGGCTCCGCGGGGGGGCATGACGTCTCCGCCGGCCTTTGTATTCTATTGTTTTTTAATGAGATCGCCGACCCAAGTTGGTGCAGCTATCTCCTCCTGAACCCTGCCCTCGGGGTACCCGTGCCCGGTGCCATCGTCCGCGGGAGAGTCTACTCTAGCGAATTGGCTATACTCCGCCCGAGGTCCTCCTCCGTGTCGACGTCCAGGGCGAAAACAGACGCGACATGCATAATGCAGGATATGCGTGACGACAGAGATACCTCATGGATATTCAACATTGCATCCGTAGACACGTACTTAATACACAAAAATCGGTCGTAAAAAAACTCGAACCATATTCCATACCTTACCTGGCTTACCATGTCGCACGCAAGTATGCCAAAACACGTACATTTTCGCAGTTGCGAGATCGAGACGGAGCGTAGGGCTCGAGTTTTTGGCGGTCGATTTTGTTTTGGTAGAAGCTGAATCTAGACCATGAACCACTAAACATCGATCGCGAAACTGCAATCAATTTCCATCACGAATTCACGATTGCTGCAATATTATAAAGTTTCCATAAATAGAGGTATGAAATTAAAGCCTATTTTGTGATGTTCTCGCCATGTTTACGTAATTTTGATAATCATTTCTTCAAAGTAAAGAAAATCAGACAAAATCACCGTAACTGACAGTGCATTGCCACTGTGTAGTGTGTGTGAGATGAGCTGAGTTGCAGTTGAAAGTGTGTGAGTTGAATTCGAGTCGAAGAGATTTGACACTTTGAAATTGTTATCTGTTGGTTTGCATCATTATTGCCGCGATTTCAATATAGTTTCGTGAATAGATTTACGAAACCTGAGCTTAGAATTAGTAAAAGTAGTACTAGACTCTAATGTCTACGTTTTTAAAAGACTGTTTGATTTTCCTGTGAAAATTTTACTTTGAAAAATGATTATCGAAATTCATGGTCAGAAATAATCACAATCTAGGGTCTATTATGTTACAGTTCTTGCATCAAATCAATGCATGAAAACTTAGTTATTGAACTAGAAAATTTTTTTTTTTTTTTTAAATAGGCAATTATGAAGTAGGAAGCCTGAAACCTAATAGCCTACTAAACAAATCTCAACAAAGTGTAGGCCTATCCTTATATGAATTAATGAAAAAGTAGCCCCAGAAAAAAGAGCCCCCGAAAATTTACCTAAAATTTGAAATGGAGCCCCCGAAATGAAAAACTTAATTTTTTGCCTGCGCACCCCCTCTAGAATCCCGCGGATTTCCGCGGGTCCTGAGTTGAGTGTATATATAATATAGGCGTGGGGTCCACGGGTTTCCAGGGGCCATAAACCCCAAAAGCTCGGGGGTTACGTTCTTTAAAGTTGGGGGGGGGGGGGAGAGATCAGATCGCAGCGAGTTGAGTGTATATATAATATAGGCGTGGGGTTCAAGGGGCCATAAACCCCCGAAAGCTCGGGGGTTTTAGGCGTATAGGGTCAGATGAGCATATTTTTAATACTTTATTTGTGACACTTGCGGGTCACTAATTGGCGTGGGGTCAATACGTAGAGTTGCGTAGTGTTGCGTAACAACTACGCTGGCCTACGTTACTATATGCTGAGGGACGGAAAGGGGTACGCAAGATGAACGAAAACAATTCAACCTGTTTAATTTTTTTCGCCAGCCTACGCATAACCTACGCAGGGACTATTTTCCCATTAATACGCAGCCTAATTTCTGCGTAGTCGGTACGCCACACTACGGAACTCTACGCAGTTCCAGTGGCTTAAAGAATAACTACCGGTACAGTTGGATTGTTTTTTTAATTTTTATATAAGGCCAAATTAAAAAAAAAACATGTTTAGCTTCCTGTTTTTTTCGAAAAATGGGAAGGAGGAGGCCCTTTTTTTTTTCTTTTTATTTTCTTTCAAAATGGCCGCTCCGTACATTTTTCCTGACATTCGGGCTATTTTTCAAGATGGCGGCCGACATTTTTTTTTTTTTCTTTTTTTAAATCAGAAATACATTTTAGCAGTGCTTTTCATGTTTTTTTTTCTTTCAAAAAAGAAAAAAAAAAAAAAAAAAAAAAAAAAAAAAAATAATAGGAGGCGGCCCCCAAAAAGGAAGCAGGCGGGGACGCTGTTTTTTTTTCTTTCAAAAAAAAAAAAAAAAAAAAAAAAAAACTTTTCAAAAAATTTCAAAAAAAAAAATAGGAGGCGGCCCCCAAAAAGGAAGCGGGCGGGGACGCTTAACATGTATATTTCTTAATGGCCTGAATGGCAAATAAAGTTCTTGGTGGTTTTAATTTAGACAGTCTCTATATATCTATTTACACCCCCCGCCCCCCTCTAGGATCCCGCGGATTTCCGCGGGTCCTGCTAGTAATGGTATACTTCTGTAGATGATGCAGTGATATTGTTTTGAAATTTTGACACATACACGAGCTACAGGTATTGATATGAAGGCCAAATCTCTCCTAAATTGCAGCTGTACTGTTTTACTGAAGGCCAACATAGCATATCTTTTGTGTGCGTTATCATTTTTCAATCATGTATGTGTCCATATTGTCATACATGTTTAATCTGTGAAAAGTGGAAGTCCATAATAATATAGTGACATTGTTTTAAACTTTTTGACACATAGGTACACATATACAAGCTACAGGTTATATTGATTTGAAGGCCAAATCATTGCTTGGTGCTGTACCGATGAAGGCCAACATTCATTTAGCCTATCTTTTGCGTGCATCATTATTTATTTAGTCTTCCCTAATGGAAACATTATGATAGTTGTACTTATGATATTTTCGTGAAACGCTGCCCAGATACATGTGTATAACTGATGTGTTGTTGGTAATGTATGAAACAAAATAATAATGCAGAAACCTTGTTGGTGGTAAAGTACTTCAAGATTGGGTGTATTTGACAAGGCTGTAATGTGGAGCGTGGTCAACTGATGAAAAATGTGCCCATCGTTTAATCTTTAAAAAGGCAGGAATATTTTACTTCCTGTTTCGGTTGTTCATGCACATTGTAGCTGTGAAAAGCTATTTGCTATTTTAAACAATCAATGCAATACTATCAAAAGCACTGCATCAAAATACAAATTTGCAATCCGATCTGGGACCCCGTTGCACAAAACTTACCATTGATGGTAACTTTGCCATCAATGGTAACTACCAACCTTGATTTTAATTGGCTGTTGAGCCCTGTTACCATGGTAGTTGCGATTGATGGCAAAGTTACCATCAAGGGTAAGTTTTATGCAACAGGGGCCCTGTAGTACATGTATGTCCTGATAGACCTTCATCATCCTGAAATCTCAAACACCTCATTTACCAAAAATATTCTTCTTTTTTTCTTCTTATGTGCAGGTTTTGAAGGAGTCCAACCTGATAATGCCGCAGTAGCGAACCCTCAGGAGATTGAGATGGCTGAAAGCCACATGGGAGCGCCTACTGACAAGGAGGACCAGCCACTTCATGAAGGGGTAATGACCACGCCCTTCTCTTTACCCCTCTAGTAGCTCTTAACTCTCTCGTTCCCTTTCTCTTCACTCTCTATTATTTAAGTACACACATACATTCACTCTCTATCTGTCTCTGCTCTCTCTTAGCCTTCTATCTTTCTCTTAGTTTTTGAAATTGTTAATTATTTGATTTTCTTAATTATATAATTCTTTCAAATTTTTAAAGTGACAAGGAGAACCAACCATTCCATGAAGGGGTAATGACCGCACCCTCCACTGTACCTATAATAATAATAATAATAATAATAATAATAATAATAATAACGCTTTATTTACCCAGGGTAGCCACTTCAGTTACATGTATGAAACTGCTCTTCCAGCTGGGCCTGCATAACATAATATGTTATTACTACCCTTCTCCAATCTAATATGCTGAGCGCCTAGCTAGAAGGCAGAAGGTCCCATTGTTATAAGTCTTTGGTATGACTCGGCCGGGGTTCGAAGCCACGACCTTCCGTCCATGAGGCGGGCGCTCTAACCACTGAGCCACCATGCCTCTAGTCATTTTGAGGGGGTGGTGGTGAGGTGCCGTTTTTCACGACTAGCTTGAACACCTTGCGCAAGCGCTTGGATTTATAAAACTTAAACAAAAAAACTCAACTCCCATTAAAACCTTTTTTTTAGCGCTCACTATCACCCCCGGGCCACACCCTCCTCTGTACCCCAGTAACTCTCGGCCCTCCATTTCTCTCCTTCAAGGTTTCTTTGTGAAATGATTTCTCTTTCATATAGTCATGACTTGCTTTTCTGTACTCTTTCTCTTCTTAGCTGCTCCCCGGAATGTTTCCACCTTGACTTGTACTTTCTATTGCCTACAGTGTATGTACATGTACAATCAATCACTGATCTCGCCTTCCTAAATATATTCAGCAAGGAAAAAACAAAGCTGTTGACGCGGTTATTCTAGTGCCATATGGTCATTAATATGAGAAACAAATATCACTTGATCTCTTATTCATCATCAATCTCACTTTTATGAATATGGCAACAATATCTGTACATGTACATTATGCACAGTGATATACAAGCAGAAGTAAAATGTAATAGAAAAGTTGTCTTACAAAAAAACCCACACTTCAGCAAGATATGTATGAAATAACTGTATCACCCCAAAAGGTTTCACTTTTAAAAAAACAACTTCAAAATGAAATTATTACATCCCTTATTGATAACAAAGATCCTCCTTTTAGCAATGCCTACGTTTACAAGTTTATATGTGAACATCCTTTAATATTGCAAATTTGCAATACTTGATACATGTTGTACGGTGTATATTAAGACAATAGAGTTTGGCACATAATTGACAAGCTTTGTTCATATTGGACAATCTGTGTTAGATGTTGACTTACTCATCTTTTTCTTGTGGTACATAGTACATTTCAACATTGGTAATTTTATTGCTCAAAAATGACATAAGATTCCAGACATATCTTCTGTTGAGAGCTACGTGTAGAAGGGCATTTACTCCTATTGTTGAGGGTCAATGCCCTTCTTGCGCTCAACAGATGATGTAATAGACATTAGACAACACACTTTGTTTTTCAATGATAATGTGAAAAACCAAAAAACGGCATAAAACACCCTCCATCCGGCAGGCGGAGGGCGATGAGTTATCCAAAAAAAAAACAAACAAAAGAAACAGGTTAGTGTCACACTCTTCTTCAGTGGCCAGACATGACAGATGTTTAAAAATTAAATCCGTTTCTGATGCAGACACACATTATGAATATAAATGTACATTAATCCATGTGTGCTTTACCTCTGATACCAGCATTTCATAATCATTTGAAATCAATTCGAATCTGTCAGAGGGTATGACCAGCTAATATTAAATAAAATATGATATTAATAATAATAAAAACAGTACTTATAAAGTGCTTACCTCCGAAGTCTTCAAGCTTGTCAGAAACATGATCTGTTCTGCCAAAAGGGCATTAACGCTGCTTTAAAATGATAGGAGTTACAGCCTCCTGGCTCCAAACGATCTGGAAAGATTTACTCAACTCATAACATCTGATCTAACAAAAGTACTCAAACCCTCTTCAAATGTGAAGAACTGCTGGTACCTGAAGTGCTTCAGCTACATATAAGTTTTATATGATATAAGATTTATGGCAACAACCATGCACATTATGATTAAAGGCATTCTTTTATAAATGTAATGCTTCCTGGGAGAAATTTCAATTATTTAAACATATTTGTGGCTTACACCCAGATGCAGGTTCAAGTCCCGCTGGTTCCGAGATTTTTTCTGACTTGTTTTTCAATACAGATCGATCAATCAATCTTATTTACTGTGTGTAAGCCACAAATATGTTTAAATAATTAAAGGCATTCTGTAAAAAAAATTAAGTGAACTCTTAGATTGCTCAAATTGAAATTTATTCATTTACTAACCGTTCTGAAAAGAAGAAACAATAGCCAAATATAATATTCCTCTTTAGTAATACAGTGTTTGCTGAATATTTTGTGCCAGTTCTAAGAGAAGGGCATGGATTTCCAAAGAAGATATGAATTTATATCATACATTTTTTAGATGGGAGGGAGGAAGGGAGGGAGAAGGAGTTCCAAACTTACATTAATGAGTGTCTTGCTTCCCCCCACCCCCTGTCCTTCAAATCATGTACTCAACATTTGTAGAGTTTTATCAGGTACTGAAATGCATTAACTCATGATTCTTAATTACCTAGCCCTTCATTACCAATTCACTAAAACCTCAAAATTGTCATTGCCAAATAAAGTCAGTTTATCTTAATCATATCAGTCTCTCATTACATTTTGAAAGGTTGGGGAAAGTGCAAAAAGTTCTTATTTCTACTATTTACTATTAGCACGTGACATCCTTTGACATTATAGTCACCTCCTCGTCGTGATAGGTGTGTTATTCCAGAAAGGATGCTGAAATTACCAGCCCGAGTTTGATTAATATAATTAATTATGTGCTCTTTTAACATCCGTTAAATACAGAATTCATACCCTTCTGTCTCTGAATAGACCAATCTTTCACATACATGATGTTATTTCTTGATAAGCCAATATGCTGCTGAATGATTTTTAATCAGCGAGGCAGAATCAACACCTCTCTACTCTCAACCAACAAAATCATAAACATACAGTCCTTTTCCCCATCCAAGCATCTTTTATAGTAGGCTGTTGAATCATTTAGTGTGTTTCTACATTGTGTGTGTACCTTTTCTTTTCTTCTACACTTGTAATCACAAACGGCAACCCAGATTCATGTTTCACAGTGAATATAATCAAACTGATTCTTTAGAAATGTTTCATGAGTTTTCATTGAATTTATCGTCAGTTTGGAGCCAGAAGGGCATTGACTCAGTGTTAAAGTTTTTGCATTATTAAGTCACTCTACACTTTTCTGGTTCCAAAGATACGATATGAATTTGTTAATGACTTCTTTCAATTGGAACCAATAGTGAGTCAATTGATAATTACCTACATGTACATGACTTATCTGCTTTAATAATAGAAGCAGAAAGGCATCAAGTCTTTATAAAAGTATCTGAGTTAACTCCCTTCTTGCGCTTAACAGACAGTGTAAATAATACATGACTGCATCAAAATAAATTTTGTGAGTGGGTAGTGGTTATTGAAATGACTGTCGAAAGTTTAATTACCAGTTTATTTGTACACACACCCACAAGTTCTAGTTTTGGTTGTTAATTGAGTGCTGAACATTTATGTGTGTATCATATTGATTCAGGCCATTTTCATGTTTGAAACAGGAAACAGCAGGCAGTTTTTTACTTATCAAAAACAAACTCATCAAATTTGCAAATCATGGATAGAATTTCGCAAGAAGGAAATGAAATTTTATTGAAATGTCCTGTTTTAAAAACCAGATTTGAATATTAGTTATTTTTAAGGATGTGTTTGAAATAAAAGAAGGCTTGAAAAAAACAAGTAATACAGTGTATGTAGAAATAGATGGATGGAATTGTTTGATGTATTGTTTTGTAATATAGGATATACAGTACCTACAAATTGAATTCACTTAGATACCATTTAGATGAGCATGTACATGTAGTTTTCAATCCATTATCAGAGATAAAAGTACAATATGTAGCTTACAGTAGCTATGATATGGATGAGATATGAATTATAAAGTGTACAACAAAATAAATGATATATCAGTTACAAAATCATAGAATTTAAGAGAAAATTACAATGTGATTTAAAAATTAAAAATTAACAAATCTTACTGCTATCAAATCTCATTCCATCTTTGCCATTAGATGTAACATTCTTGATTCTTAGTGTCTGTTTCTGTCTATTATCTGTCTGTTTGTCTCTTACTCTTTCTCTATCTCCAGGGGGGAGGGGTTCACAAAACTTGTTGTCATCAGTGACAAATGACAGTTTTTGTTATAAGAAATGTTATTAAGAAATCCTTGCTTCTGATTGGTTATCGGCAAATTTGTCACTAATTTTTGTCATTTGTCATTGAAAAAAGGCTTTGTGAAACGCACCCCTGGTCCCTCTCTTCCATTTGATATTTAGTTTATAGGGAAACATGACATTCGTTTAAAGCAACGCTCCTTGTATGCTTGTCATTTGTAATTTTATTTTAAAGAGGTCATTTAAAAGGAATCAACAATTTAGCCTTCTACCGTGTACATGTATATGCACGCTGTGTCCCCCTTATGAATTTGCCATATTTTTATAGTATTTTTCCTGCTTCTTTAGTCATGCTTCCAGATTATAATATTTAATCTCTAGATATTTTCTTTAGCGCCATCATATATTCTCCTACCTACATTGCACCTCCTTTTATCTATACATGTATATGCTGTATCCATAGCTTTCATTCTTTTGTGTTTATCATTGTCCTCATTTGCTTTATATATCCATTCATTATCATAGAATCTCTTTCCCAAGTTCCCTAACTACGGTGAGAACAATGTAGATCAGCAGCAGGTAATTGGATACCCTGACCCCTCCCC